TCCATTATCATTGCCATCACCACTACCACCATCATCCATTATCATTGTCATCACCACTACCACCATCTTCCATTATCATTGTCATCACCACTACAGTCATCATCCCAATTAACATTGTCATTACCACTACCATCATCCACATTATTTCCATCATTATCATCTTACACATAATCCACATATTCATCCATCTGATTTATATCATCTTTTGAAATTCTTGCATCATCCACATATTCTGAAATCTAGAAAAAACAATCTCATAAAAATATTTGTTAAAAATTTTTAAAAATCAATGAAAGTCACATTATTATCAACATAAATGTCACACAACTAAGGTCAGTAGGGAAGGTGCTTTCCTTTTAAAGAATGTGTCACATTATAGTATACAATGGCACCCAAAAGCCTCACATTAATAGAGAAGGAACTTCATTACGTTGCATATTGGAATTACAAAGTATCAAGTGTCTCTCCCAAGTATCATTAACAAACTGCTAATAGTAGAGTACCAAGAACTGCGAATCATCAGTTTCAAGAATCATTAACAGAATTGGTTATAAAGCTTTGATAGTTCCCAATATGATCAGTTGTCAAATCCCCCAGCCTCATAAAAAGGTTATAGAGCAAAGAGTCCCAAAATGATCAGCTCTCCACTACCCAAGCATAATAAAGTCTTTGTTAATAACACATCAAGTGCCCAAATACATCAACTCAACACTGCCCCAGCTGCATACACTTTATTATAAAACAACAAGGACTTCGAATGAGCCACTATATTGGATAGACTACTTTTAAACTAAAATAATAACACAGAGAAATATTCACCAACTGATGCATATGTTAGTTATTTTACCTCTTTATTGACCTTGTTCACCTCCTGAACAGCATCTGCAAGGGTAGAGTCTACATTATCCAGCTCCTTGTAAAAATCATCCACAGTTTCTTGAGTTGAATTATTTATATCTTCTGGTACAGATTCCAGGGTATCCTTAGCCTGCAATATAAAACACCAAAGTGAGTGAAGTTGAAAGAATCTACAAGCAGGGTTTGTACATATTTGGTCACAAAATTTCCTGAGACTTTTTGAAAAAACATTTGGAAAAAAAATTTATAAATCAATTTAAATGATCAAAACAAAGAGAAAAATTAAATTAGAATTTTCTTATATGTCCTATTTCAAAATTAAATTTAGGCTGGCCACTGGTGGCACCCCTGATTTAACAAAGAAAGTCAAAATGAGGCCTGGTAACTGTTTAATGCATTCAAAAGAGAAAAACACAATTTACAAAGTATCAATATTAGGAAGCTTTCAATTGCAAAATGACACTACAATCTAATGACGTGACTAAGAAGTCACGTCATATGCGGGATCATCAAGATCTCATCACGTTGGACTAGGACTCAATTTAGCCGAATGCACATTGCGCAGAGGACGTAGGACGGTCACGCATGAGTGAATCTATTCTAGTGTCACATCGTCGCACAAATCAAAGGCCCCTAATATTGATATCAAAGCTTACCTCTTCCTCATACTGCTCTACCTCCTCCAAAACTTTGGTAACATTTGAAATTTCATTACTTAGATCTGGTAACTAAAAGCAAAGAAAATAAGATGTGAATAAAATATTAATTAAAAGCAATCTGCTATTTAAAAAGTTAAATATTCTAAAGTATATAAATATAAATTTATATATCATAAGCACACGTGTTAAAAATGTTAACGTAAATGCTCGAATAAGCGCCATGGCTTCAGTGCTGCACTTATTCGAGAGCGGCGTTTATTCAAGAGCAGTGCTTGTAAAAAATGCCCGTCCCATTATTATTACATAGCTCACATATTCCCATAGTTCAGTAGGCCTATCATCGGTCCTATGTCATTGTAAAAAAACGTTTATAGAAAAAGGCTTGTGTCTTCATTGTGTTATTAATTTATTTTAACGCTGTATACATTGCATTTAAAACCCCATTTCTCAAAGTGTTTCATTACACACAGAGTAATATAAACTCTTGATTGAGCACCACAGCGCTTATCCGAGAGTGGCACTTAGCTTAAAAAATTCCAAAATGCTGCCTACCTGTGTAATGTTAGATTGAAGTTCCAGAACTGTGAGGTCAATACTATCACAATCTGGCCTACATTTACTTTGAACTGATTCTAAATCATTTTGTATATCACTGAGTTCCGTTCCCAGTGCAGCCGTTTCAGATATTATATCAGCCTGTAGGGTCTCCATTGTCACTAGCGTTTCCAAAGAATCATTAATAGCTGAAATTATCAGTGTTAAATAGATAAGTAAATGAAAAAAAAAAAATCATTGTTGGTAGTCTTAGGAACCAATGTTATATTTTTGAAATGCATGTCATAATGTTCATACACGCATGCTACACATACACCATATGCATTTTACATGTGCAAATATGCGCTCTTGCTTGTCATGTAAATGTGATATGTACATACGTGTTATGTGCACATACATGTCATGTGTATGTGATATACTGTAACATACATGTCATGTGCACATACTTGTAATATTGTGCATGTGATATGTACATGCATGCCAGGCCTAGCAGAATCGCCTGCTGGACGTCCCGGGGCAACCAAAAATAAATAGGGTGCTTCCCGACGGGCAACCTCTTTAAAATCTCTGAAAAGTATACCAAAGATAGGCCTCATAGCGACTGTGAAAGATGTCGAAAAATAGTCATGTACGATCAAATCTAGGCTGCCGATACTGTGTATGGTTTTGTGAACTCTTTGGGAATTTGGTAGTGTGGAGCGTTATCTCCTTGTAGCTGGGACTAAAACCACAGACGGACGACCACCAAGTACTCAATACAGCAATACATATCGGCCATATGAGCATCGTTGGTATAGGTTTCCCACATGCATGATAAGCGGCGGCATCCTTTGAACGTAAACGCTCTACTAGCATCCACAAAATTTGTTTTTCTTCTCTATGACATTAAATTATATTATAAAATAGCGGGATTGCATTTATGTTTAGTATTATTTGTAACTGTATTGTTTGAAATAAAGAATGAGTTATATTTGTTGTTGTCTCGATTTTTTGTAAAATAATATTTTGTTAAAATATTAATTAAATATTTATAACTATAACAGGGTTCTCGCCTCGCCGGTCAGCCCTGTCCGGCTCTCAAATTTCTGACCGGTATCTAAAACTGCACCATTTTTACAAAGATTTTGTCATCCTTAGAAACATAATTAAACGTGAAATACCTTGCTAAAAAATCAAGTGCATTTAAATGTAAATGCCCTATTCATTGAGAAAATAACAGTAGAAGTACACGTCCCCATGGTTACATTAATTTTTAATTAACAGTCTTGCAGTGGATAGGACCACAACATACCCATACGGGGGAGCAAAGGGGCGTTGTCGGGCGTCACTCAAAATATTTCTAAATTGGTCCCATGTGGTAAAGCCCAAAAAAAATTGACAATTAAGGCTTAGGCCTATATAATTAATTTTAGAAGCTAATAGGCTTATGTAGAATATATATATTTTTTTTCTCCCCCGATGAATTGTTATTTTTATCCCCGATGGGAGCCCTGGCCACCGGCTGCCCACTGGTGCTACCCCCGACAATAAAATGAGACTTTAATGTAGGTATAAAATACAAAATTCGCATATCATTAAACTTGGTTGAGTGTACTACTCTTTAATAGGCTGTGCATCATGTGAGGCAGGTACTATAATAGCATTGTGTCAATTGTGAAAAAAATATAGGGGGCAAGTAAAAAATTGTGAGGGCAACCAAATCTGACACCTGGCTTGCCCGAAGGGCAACCAAAAATTTCAAAATTCTGCGAGGCCTGCATGTTATGCGCTTGAGATGCATGTCACATCCATTTAGTATGTGCATTCATACATGATACGATACAATATTCCTTTATTGTCATTTTAACAACATGGTTGGATTGAATTGGATTGGATTTATTCGGTGTAAACACCAAGGATAGCCCACGAAAGTCTAGAAGAAGACTTATTTCCAGTGGTGTCCTTCTGGTGGTGATTGGACAGTACACGGGAGACAATTCCCTACTCTTTTCCGAAGAGTGTACTGTGTTCTTTAACGTGCACATGGGCCATAAATGCACACGGGACCAACGGCTTAAACGTCTCATCCGAAATACGGTGCGCTATTGTAACTTGTATTTCAGCCCTCTAGCTGAAACACAAGGAGAGGCAGCGATGGGAATTGAACCAGGGTTCAGCGCACACACAGTGACTACCACCAGATTAGCCGACTGAGCTAAACTACCTCTCTACAAATGATACAAATGAAATTAGTGTTGATTGATCCGATAGGCAAAACAAAAGCACATGTAATTTCAGAAAAAAAAGAAATAAATAAGTAGATAATAAACAAAAAAAAAACATTTCAAGAGAGAATCGTATGGGTGAGTGGGGTCTCAGGATCAAGAAACACACCACAATGACCCACCCGCTGAAAGAAAATGGGACAGCGCTGACCTGAATCTGCAATGTATAACATGCTTGTGATACATTGATGTGATAATACAGTATGTATGACATGTGTATGTGATATGTCCACGTATTATGTAATAATGTATATACATGCAAGCTATGTGCATGTGATATATCTGTATGCTACTATATATACATGTCATGTCATGTGCATGTGATATGTGTGCATGATATGTTTATAATAGTATGCTATACTGTATATGGAAGTCATGTATGTAATAATATATGCATGCATTTCACCTGCTATGTTCCATTTCTGAAATCATGTTAGATTTATGTATAATATTAACTTCTATCTGGACAATTTCAATTTAAACACATTCTTTTTTGAAATTGTTTATCTAAGGGCATGATGAAACCAATTATCACAAATGACATTTATAAATTTGTAATTTTTTAAAAAGTACTGACCACCAGTGAAGTTCTCATAACTGTCATATAATGCTTGCACTCCACACTGATCTAGGAGGTATGGCTCTGTTAGTGCATATATTTGGTTTCCTCTACCTGCAAAGTAAGCACTCTTTGTCAGTAATGTAACAGCTTACTACATGATAAGATTATTAAGATGTTATTAATATTACACACCTCAATGGAAAACAGATCTGAGTGAAGCATGAACAATCCAATCTTAAAATACCCAACACAGGTCTAATAATGTAATTGGTATATTGTAGTTAGATTTATATAGCGCTTTATACCAAAGACTCAAAAGGTTTGAGGTGTGAACTACAGTGACTTGCATCTCTCGTACCAGCTACTCCTCTGTCTGCAACTGACGAAGCCAAGAAAAAAATGTGTTTCAGCATTGCAGATCTTTGCCATTGCAATAGCTGACAACCAAGACCAGATACATTTTTTTCCCCAGGCGTAATTGCCATGTGAATGCGAATTCTTAGATAGCTAATTGGAAAAGGAGGTCTAATTACAGAAGTTACATCTTAAATCAGATTCCATTATTAGGAAAAAAAAAAAACAAAGAGCTGAATTCACAGAGTAAAAATCATTAAAATACGAACACAAACAAATACAAATTGTTATTAAAATTATTATATGCATAAAGAAGTTACTCACCATCAATCTGTAGACGCATTTCTTTATCAAATACTCGGTACTCCTCCAATGTGTAATTTATTTGCTGAAATTATTTGAAGGAATGAGTAAACTTTGGTAATCAAAGATCATAATAATAGATAGTGCACTCTTCGATTTGTGTGAACCCAGAAAATTATTTGAAGAAATGAGTAAAGTTTGGTAATCAAAGATCATAATAATAAGATGTTTGCAAATTCTGTAACAGTCTGCTAATTTCTACAACGCCCTCTCGCAAAAACAAGTAGTTTCTGGTTTTCCTACTTAGAATAGAATAAGGCAGCAACAAAAGGCAAAGAGAGTGGTTTCACGCAACTCTACTAATACATGCATGTTCCATTTTGTAAAAATTATAACAAAACCAGAACCCTGCGGGTGCGTACGTTCCTTTGTATGTAAAAAATCAATGTACATTTGTGAATTGCAATAACTTATTGTATCTTTTTGAATAATGATTGTGTAAGGTAATACAGTATTTTCATTTTCAGTCAATAAAAATCAGATGCGGATCCAGAAATTTATGAAAGGGGGGAGGGGTGGTAAGGGGTTCTGAGAAGTGCAGGGATGTCGTTATGCAGGGCGGAGGTGGGCGGCGCCACCCACTTTGACATCTTGCGCCCATCCTAAAGCTATTTTTAAGGCCTTCCGCCCAGCCTCATACAAATTCTTCCACCCCCCTTAATCATGAAGAAACACAAGTTTTTGCTCCATAAACCGTATTTTCTGGTGAATAAGCCGCAAATTTTATACACGATTTTCCCCTCAAAGTTTGGGGTGCGGCCTATACACCGGTCGTTAAACCTACTCCCAAAAAGTTCAGATCGCGAACCGCAGCAAAAATCAGGCGCCGTCTGTCTAGCTTGGGCCCATGCTCCTAGCCCAATTAATTAGCCTAGGCTTTGAAGGGCTAGTATTTGTAATTATACTATACTCACTATACAATGCTGTACTGTGATCCCTACTACATTTTCTACAACAATCAAGCAATGGTTTAGGTTGTTTAAATAATTATTTTCATAGTTACGTTCACTCAAACAATTTTGAAACACGTTTTATTCGCAATCGCTTCGCTCAAAACAATAAACTTCTTTTCGGCAGTATGGTCCTAGAGGTCACGTGAGCAGCTTCATTTATGTCGCAACAAAACACACGTGGGCTGTTGAAACTTTCTGTCGACGTCTGGTTCCCGGTGGCTTGTACCATTATAGAAAGAATATTGATACCGCCATATTTCAGAATAAAAGCTTGTGAAATTAATTTATGCAATAAAAACACGAGTTTTCTTGAAATTAATTGAAGAAAGGCATACGTTCATCCGTCTATCACATGCCTCCATCACATGCTGTATATGTGTATAGACGGTCAGTCCATCACATGCTGTAAATTTATGTGTCCATAATTTTAAGGTTCTCCCCCACCTGGTACTGTCCATCAGATGCTGTATTTTCTAACCATTATTTTCCCAAACATCATTTGATGAAGCTATGCTGTAAATTTATGTGGCCATAATTTTAAGGTTCTCCCCCATCCGGGACTGTCCATCAGATACATGCCTCCATCACATGCTGTATATGTGTATAGACGGTCAGTCCATCACATGCTGTAAAATGTGTCCATAATTTTAAGGTTCTCCCCCACCCGGGACTGTCCATCAGATCATGTCAGGCAGGGCAATTTCCTGATGCAAAAACAACATCAATTTAATTCATTATCTTTATTTGTTTATATTATATATTGTTATATTATATATTGTAATATTATATATTGTTATATTTTTTATTCACATTTGTGTGAGTAAAGCCCTGTCCAGACTATGAAATTTTATTTGACAAAAACATGTGACATGACCAAATATGGTCACGATGACATGATATCATGACTATACATGGGCATACAACAGGTTTTTGTCAAATAAAATTTGATACAGTAGTCCGGACAAGGCCTAACACTATGATAATAATAATCTTACTGATGAGACTGTAGCCGAGTATGCGTCTGCTTCATCTAGAGTCAATTGGTAGCTTAATTTTGTTCTGTCCCATGAGTCTTTAGTCAGGAAATCATTACCTGTGTTGCTGTAGGCCATCCCAAAACTAAAACACAAAATGGTTTATAGATTGATTTACTAATAGATTTATTATTTCATTGACTGATTTATTGATTGACTGATTTATTGATTGATTTATTGATGATTTATTAATTTGCTGACTGATTGAATAATTGATTGATTGAAATTCTTCAGTAAACCATTTCAAAAGGAGTTCTTTATGAAAATAATACAGAACCCCTATTAAGGGTACACCTTCTGGACCAAAAATAGGGGTGTCCCCAAAATAGGGGTTTGGCTGTAATGCTAAACGATATTCCCTTGTTTTGTAGCTGAAAAAAATATCTCCTTAATAAGGGTGTCCACTTAATAGGGGTGTCCAATAGGAGGGGGTTTACTGTATAATTATGTACCCCAAAAAACACAAACATAGAAAAGAATTAATAACCGAAACAGAATAGCAGAATTGTAGGAAAATAAATAATAATTTATCATACACTGACTGCTCGTCTGCAACCAATCTGATTTAAATGTATCGGTATTATTGATTTTACTTAATTATTTTATAATGTAGTGCCAAATGGCAAAAGATACTGAAATCAATTATAAGAAGTGGTGGTGGAAGATGATAATGAGAGTGATATAGTGACAATACTGTAACATCAACTATGATGAAAGTGATGGGATCATTTAAGTAGTAATGATTTTATTATTTGCTTGCACTTCTGGTACAAAAAAAAACTGAATATTCTTTACTTACCCGATAACAATAGTAATACTAAGTAAAAGTATTGAAAATATGATTCGTTTGCAGCCCATAGACTTTGTTTCCTTCTGTATCCGTTTACCGCCACAGTTATTGCAACATCGACAACAACAGAAACAAAAACCGACCCACGGTATTATAATGATACTTAATATACCAATACAAAAGCATATAATAATGCCAATATAATGTACTGACAGCTGCAGAGATAGAAAGAAATATAAAACAATTTATATCAATGGTATTATATAAATTCTCTCAAAATACAGTTTACATTCTAAATGCAATTTAGCTGTTCGGCTGAAAGACAGGGACAGGGAAGTAGAATTAAACAAAGGACTATTTAAGGGATCTGAAATGCTCTCCACGGTTCAATGCAAATAAAGTTCAGAGGCACATCTATAGGGGCGCACAGGGACGTATGCTCCCCAAAAAAGCTTGTTTCCCAACCCCAGTCGCCACAACCCCCTTAAGTGGAAATTTTCAAAGCAAAAAAATTTCGCTTATGTAGTTACCAATCTCCTCATATCACCATACTCTGCCACCTAGCATCCCCCGAAAGTTAATCATTGAGCCCTCCTTCTTCAACTTCATGCCCCAACAGTCCACCATTTTGATACTTATAGATAGCCACTGACAAAGTGGCTACTACCAGTTTAGTTGACTAGTCTTCATTGCTCTCTGCCCATTACGTACATACTTCAACTACGGTATTTCTTATAGATCAATAATCTGTTGTTTACTCAGGTGAGTCTACAAGACATACTTAACAGGTTAAGAACCTAAATTACTAACCTCTAGGGACAACTCTTTAATATTGATATCAAAATCATCTTCTTCCAATTCTCTTATCTTTTCTGAAAAAGTAATACCAAACATTTTAATACGGTTGTCATGAAAGAATAACGAATAATGTCAACTGTACACTTATATAATAAATGCTATAAATTGTGCATGTTATGAACTATTTCTGCAACAAAACAAATCATACTATATTTATCTTTACAAATTACTACCTTAACTGTTAATATTATTTAAGTAAATAAATATTGTACTACTGTATAATTAAATTTGTATATAAACGTAGGATTAACAATTAATATTTATACTAAAAAAGAAGTTTGATCTTAGTGTCTGCAGGTTTACTTTACTAGACCTCATAAATATTAATTAGGTATTAACAATAATATGAATAATAATATGTCGTTCTTATGTAGCGCTTAATGCCTTAACAAAGCCTCTAAGCGCTTCACATTATTACCCCGGTCATTGGATCAAACACATATGGAACACATTTTCAACACAACATTTTATTGGTCAATTCAACTTGGAAACATAGTTTAGTAGTTTCACCTTTTTCAGTGTGTGTGCATATTATTGCAGATGCAAAGAAGTAGTACTACCCACAATCGACTATCACACTCCGGCCTATGTGCAAACTGTGTAAGTTTACCCTCACAGATTAAAATGGCTACTTTAATGTAGTTGGACGGTTTGCTGCTTAATGTTTATGAGGTATAGTAAAATAAATACAATATGGTACTCTTTCCGTAAAGCAGTGAATTCAACTCCCCAGGGCGTTGGATGATTGTAACTACCTCTCTTCGCATCAAGCGGTAGTCCTAATCATCCAACACCTCAGGAAATAGTATAAAAATAATGAATGTTTGAGTGCAATGGAACAAATATTTTCATGAGTTGAAAGATTGACAGTTCCATTTAATGAGGCAGAGCCGAGTTGAATGGAACAGTCAATCTTTCAACGAATAAAAATATTCTTCCTATTGTACGAATACAAAACATCCATTATTTGTTTTATAACACACCTATAAAGATCGGTTCGCCTTAACTATTCTAGTTAACATACAACAAAATACAAATAAGATGTATTTGATTCTAGTTAACATACTTATAATTATGAACATAGCATCATACTTGTTGTGTTGAGTAATAATAAACTTTAATACTACATTCAAATATTTTAATTTCCTACTTTCTAATTAAGTTATAAGCATTCAAATGAAAACTAGAACCAAAGAAAATATTTTCCTTTCTAATTAATAGATGCATTGTAAATAATACTGTTTAGATCCTTGAAATAAATTAGCTGCTATTTATCAAATTAAGGATTTTCATATAGTAAGACGCCTGTCTTAGAGCTCAATCACACTTAATAGTTATGTCGGCTCAGGACCGCCTCATGGCCACCATTTCTTAAGTGTAAACCATCAATAAATTTTAAGCCAGCCCAGAGCCAACCTCAATTTAGTCCGACTTCAAAGTCAGCTCTGGTCCAGCACTGTGGGACCTAGCCCAATTCATTTTCATATCTGAACATAAACCGAACCTGGGTCGCCAAGGTCACTGCGATAGTGGTCAATCTTGACATATTATACCATAACACTCCAGACGCAAAGGACGAAGTACTGTATAAACGTTCACAGTGCGACCCTGAGCCGACTTAAAATACTAACCACGTACAGAACGGTCGTTTTGAGACGGTCGTAGTTAAGGCGGACCTGGGCCGATGTAATACATGTGATTGGACTGTTAGGTAAATTTTCCACAGATGATTAGAACCGAATGTTACTGGGATTTCTTGCTTTGAAAAAGGCATTATCCATTCATCTGGTGAAATAGTTAGTGACTCTAATAGTGACAACTAAGGGCGCTTTTCCTTTGTGATGCTCAAAAATTAGTCTACAATTCTGATCCAACCATAACAAACAAAAAGGAAATTTATAACAACAGTACAGGTACTGTACTAGAAATGTCAACCTTGAGGAAAGGAAATAACAGATGGAGCTTACTTTGGCCCATAAACCTAAAAACTATAATGACAGTTTAGGATTGGAATCAAGACAAATGAGACCAGATTAAAGCGGTTCAATTTGAATCAATCAATTCAGTTTTGGTTTTACTTTAAACACAATTTCAATACCAGTACAGAATATCAATTTTGCAAGATTAAGTCTTTGTAAAACAGAGTCTCAACATCATTTAAAAAAAAAAAGATTGGCTGACATGCGCTCATTAATAACTTAATTCTTAACTTGTGGTTACTAGTTATCATTTAAACAGGATATATATCTACCATAAACGTCATTATACCAGTGACGTCATTATACCAGTGACGTCATAAAGGTAAATACGGTCAGATTCACTGGAGTCATGAGAGGTCGTATAATTGTTTTAACGGTTCCATTTTAATGCATTCTTTTGAATTGATTGATTTGACCAATGACAATTGAAGGTTAATTAACTTATTTATTGTTAATAAGCAATTAAATGTTTTTTTAATTCCTACTAGGGGTTAAAGTTGGGAGAATCCTATTGTGGTGGATCTGTTCATGAGCTTTCTTAATATATATCTAATTGTACTTTGCCATGCGTGGGGACAATCTGATGATTAATAAAGTAAAAACATGCACAAATTATGAATTTCCGGGAGATGTTACTTTCCAAAAATCTTTTGCTAATTCACAGGAGTGTAGAAGATTGTGTCGAATTCTGGGACACTCTGTGACTTGCAGGAAAATTTGGGACCACTGGTTTTATATAGAGTATCTTGAAATGTAAACTTTTGGTCCTGATCTAAAGTGATAACTATAAAACTTCATATCAGTGACATCATAATGTAAATAAGGTCAGGCTATGAGGTCTGGTAGTTGTGTAAACAGTGAATAAGAAACACAGGGGCACCAACTAGGAAATATACTATAGACCGTATTGTAATTCCTCTGGTATTAGCCAATACCACCTTGATTTTGAACACAAAATTAGACCAATTTTCAGGGGAGTGGACTTATAACCAATGATTCCCCTTTTCAATAAAAAAAAAAGGAAATTTTCCAGCATTGAATGTCAAAATTCAAAGCCAATGTGCCATTTTAACAATTAAATATTGTGCAATTTTCACACATTGAACACTTTCCTGCTACCTACAGTACCAGTGTCACTGGGATATAACCCTCCCTGGTCTCAAGTTAATTTGACCTCCCCTTTCTATGTTTGATCATAGTAAACTCTCTCAGTGCTACAACAGGAGAATAAGAACACAGGAATTTTGCTACCAGGGCGGTAATTTCTGCCTATGTCTGGGGTACCAAATTCACTATGGACTTACTGTAGGACCGAGAGCTGGAGAATTCACAGTGCGTAGGCTAATTCATAGATACAAACATTTCTGTGACACCAGGCAACAATCAAAAATTTATGTGTACTGTTCTTTTGTACCCTCTTGAAAATTATTAAAACATAGACAAGCAGGCAAGTTGCTTGCAGTCTATAGCCAATTTCCAGACAGAGGTTTTGGTAATATTGCAGTAATAATACTGTTACACTTATCAACAAAAACCATTCATACTGCAACCAAATACTGCAGTAACATAACGCCTTTCTGCATGAATGGATCACGCACACCGAGAGCCATTGGTAATGTCAATTGTGTAAACAAAATCCACGTTTGCCTATAACCATTATGATAGGCCTAGATTTATGACATAATGGGCATAATGCACCTTTCTGTTCATGCTATATCAATATTTCTAAGGATTTCAGTTTGCTGTGTTTCGAAGTAGGCATAGACCCCACCCGACCCCTTTCCCAATAATACAACGTAAATGAGGTTTAAGAATATGGCCAATTTTATTATTTTGTAGTTCATTACTTCTAATCTAATTATTCTGAACAATGGCAAATTTCTTATGTCACCATGACTATACTATTACTAACATACTGCTCTACCTTTTCTCAACATTTGTCCAATTCGTTATCCTTATTTAGACTGAATAAAGTAATATTGCAGGAATGTGACAGACAGACATACGCCGGAACGCACGGTAAACAGCAATTTTGCGTTAATATTACTAGGGCTGAGATGGAATGCTGCGTATCCCCAAGATTGCGACCTATTCATACAGAAGGCAATGAAAAGTATGAAAGTGGCTTATGTGTAGTCAATGTTGCCCCTCTCATTGTTTATGTATAAACTACTGATTGATAATAATGTGGATATTAAGAGCATTAAACAAGGACACAGGCAATAATGTGGATAAGGAGCCTTAAACAAGAACAAGAGGTCAACCTCAGATTCGAACCCTTGACGTTTTGATTGGAAGCTGGAAGCTTTACCGCTACACCACATTCTCTCATGATTCTATTTTTTTCCATTCTAATGCAGTGTTCTTTATGTAATGTTCCAAAATGATGTTATCAGTGAAGCTATCATATAACCTTGTTTTCGATGAGCCAAAGGCCTAAAGAATTTATAAAGGTGGTATTTCCCTCACACCAAACTGAACTCACCATACGGAAGACCTTTACGTTGTACAAAATCTACAAATCCATTAGCCATGTCTATAAGTCCTAATGGTCTCTTATCTTCAAGTTTTTCCGCCTCTTCAAAGCCACTTGCAGGCGTGTGTGGCGGTAATGCACATGAACTCGGCCAGTCAATAGTACCGTCATCATTTAAAACGGGATTGCATTGCTCCTCTGATGACGATACTTGACTTGAGAGAATCAGAAGAAAGCATATTGAGAAAGCACTGGTGGTCTGTGTTGAGGTGGTCATGTTGTGTTGTTATAGTTTCTCGGCAGGAATCGTTAGGATGGATGGTTAGTCCCTTCTCACACCTTCTCCCCTACCAGTACTGGATAATCCCTTCTCCAAAAAAAAATACAAAATCTGAAAGAAAACCAATGATAACATAAGTCAAAAAGAAAGAATGTTACTAGTCAGTAAGTACTGTAGCAATATAATTCTTCACAAAACTTAAGATCTAAAATCATACCATGAAAATATGAATACCGAAAGGTCCAACGATTAATCTCAGATAAGATAGTATAATACATACTCCAAGTATCGAAATACACGCCATCATGTCAAGATTCAATATTTCGACATTAATTATGTCATCATATGATTAAATATGAATAATTTAGATGTTTATTTTCTGCAGTAAACTGGATCCTAATACCACTTACTTATATATTTTTTTTTAATTTGCATACAATAGCAAGCCAAAGTAAATGATGTTTATCCAGCAGCATATAATATAAAATTTCATTATTACTTTTTCTCATAACAAATATTACAGTATCCATTTGAAAAAGACTTAAATATCAAATACATTTTTATGAGAACTAAGTAATCAACTCTTACATTATGATAGATTGTGTGCTTGCATACATATTATACATTTCTATGAATGCATACATGCGCATACGACAGTAAGCTATGTCTTATATATACAGTATTTAAGGACTTTATTTTCATTGTAAATATTATTTTTTTTACTTATTTGTATAGGGTGTAGCATGTTTAAAACGATCCTACAACCAATAGAAGTTCTTTGAAAATAATTAACAAAGCCCATCTACTATAAACAATAAAAGTCTTCAGAAGGCCAAAAAAAGAACAAATCAATCATCGACATCAGCCTTGGCAACTTAGCAACCAAACAGATGGTCACGCCTCAGTGAACATGACTAATAACAACACATCATCTTTTCCTCAGTACACTTTTTAAAAATAAGAACACATTTTCTAAGTACACTGAGGCTGAAATTGCTTAAAAAATAAGAACAAAATATGAATAAACTGAGAATGAGGTAACATGTCAAATGAGGTTTTTTATTTTTTTAAAAATAGAATATTAAAATAAACCAGTAAAATTCTCTTTCTTGGTCTCTTTATCTGTACCTTATTTGCAGTAGGTGTGACTATCAGTACAGTAATAATATACTGTTGTACAATAATAATTTTTTATCTTAAAAATATACAAAATAAGAACATTTTGTGCTGAAACTGGCAAAAAACTAAGAACACTGAGCCTAGGCCCCAAAATTTTACCGGTTCTTATAAAAAGAGTGTAACTCAACAAGGAAAACAAATCACAAAACTCAAACATTATGTTAAAACCAAAACTGCATTTTACATATTGGTAGAGAGAGTATGAGAAAACTCCATAGTAATTTAAAAACATAGTTCATCTTCATATAATTGATACGATCAAATGGTTACCTCATTAAGCACTCTTTTTTTGCTTTAATTAGAATAGCAACCCACACAAAACCATTATTAAAAATATGTTTTGTATAGCCATACTTTTATTTACTATATACCTTCTGAAAAAGAAATAAACGTCATAGTACTAAGCCAACTCAATACTGGGTGTGGTTAGACTAAAATGCCAACAAAGCCCACAAGAATAACAATGGAATCAACTAGGCCTATTGTACCAAATGCAACACAATGAATAATTTATTAAAAATATTATACCACCTTTGTATTTCTATATTGGATAATATAAGTCTTTACGCACTTGAAAGCAACTAAGAATAGCATCAATATTATTGAAAACATTTAAAAGGAGCATGGTTTATTTTTAGCATAATTTTGTAATAAATACTTTTCCAAATGTATGGAAATTATTATAAGTTTACATGTAGCTCACAGGACTCTCAGAATAACTTCAGGGGTGGATCCAGGGGGCAGTCTGTGGTGGGTTAGGACCCCCCAAAAAAGATAAAAAATTAAAATTAAAGAGAGAAAAGAAAGAAAAAAGGGAGAGCACAGTACTCCAAAACAAACTAATTTTCAATTTACATTCCATGTACCATCAATTCAATGTCTATGTTCAAGAATTTCTAATAAAAAATCTCAAGCACCATCACTATTCACTCTACCTATACATTACATACATCACCCAAAGTTATCTTTTTTATCTTTCTCCAACTCCAAAATTTGAAATAGTCTTATCTCTAATGATCTTCCTTGAGGTAATTTCGATGGATAATGTGTATTGATATTTCCTCTGTGATAATAAAACCAGTAACTTAGTCACAATTTTTGTTACTCTTTCATTACAAATGACTAAATTTCTATTGTTAAAATTCAACTCACATTCAGCTTTAAAAAAAAAAAAATAATAATCTAATATCATTATTCCTGAATACTAGCAACAAATATCAGGTTGCTATAGGTTACAGAATAAACAGTATAATCCACCCTGGACAATATCTACCCGGACAAAACCACCCACAATGGACTATACCATTGTTTAAGTGCAATGTGGTTATTGTCCAGGGTGGTTTTTGTCCTACATGCCTTTAGAAACTAGATGAGATATTTGTTTATTAAAACAAACTTTCACAGTACACTTACACTGAAATTTCATGAAACTGGAAGTTTGTGTTAATAAGACTAGTATCTCAAAAATGTTACTTTCACTTTATTACTAGTTTTAATAATATAACAAAACAAATGTAAGTAATAAATAAACATTATAAAATACAAAAAATGCAATAATAAAAGTAAGGAAATAATAGAAAAAAATACTCATATTGATAAATATTATTTTTTTCCCTCTGTAGGATCGATGTGCAGGACGCATTCAGTGTCGGACAACCCAGGTGCATCCTGGAATCGCCAGTGTAAGCAGCACCGAATTTGATTCCGGAGTTAGGCCTTACCTGGCGCCTACCACAGCTGTGGTCAGGTAGGCCTAAACTTTGCTAGCAACAGGCTAGACCTAGACACTTTTCAAATTAAACCCCCTGTGCTCCGGTATAAACTTGATATCAAAACTGCTGATTTAATTCGCATAATTTAAAAACAATCTGCATATAAATTCCTTCAATATTGACAATAACTGCAGCTTCGTCATTACGAGGAACTCAAGCGAAGTGATGATCACCATCATTGAGGGTGGTATTCAAACTCGAGTTCGTTGCCGGTGTAAAATGGGAGCAACTTGGGGGCAACCCAGACTTTTTCATTCGATGTAAATGGGAAATGGACCCGGGATCACTCCGGAATAAACTGCCTTGGCAGTGTAAAAAGGGATATTACAGTATCTGCAAAAACTTCTCAGAATTCCTCAACATGATTTATTAGTTAAAAATTAACTTTAACACTTTTTTCAAAGCAGCTCTCTAACTAAGCTACTTTTGAGGTGAGATTATTATAAACAAACTCCATCCTTAAATTACAATCCTGGCCGAAGGAACAACCACAAGGAACAAGAATCCTTGAATACAATGCAACATTGTAAATGTTAATCACCAAAGTTAGAGAGGCTGGTTTTCTCATTGCAAATAAAATCAATAATCCGAACTTAACAAACTCTATCAAATCTCAGAAATGAGTTCCATTTCAATGACCATATGGCTTCTGTGCAATTGGGTCAACATACAGTAATTGATTCTAACAACTCACCATTTATTCTGGTTTACACATAATTGAAACTATGGAATATGTAGGACAATATATTTGGCAGGGAAAGTTTATTTTCTTATTCTAATTTTCAATCAAAGTCTAACATAACTTACTTAAAATACATTATGAACAATTCAAATATTGATCTTCTTGTTCCAAGTTTATAATCTCAACCAGGGTATATTCTTAGTATTTTACATATTTACATTCAACAACCTCACACTGGGCCTCACATAGCCACATTCATATTACACGCTTCACAGTTTATTAGTAATCTAACAATTTCACAGCATTGCCGCAGGTTCATCCTCTTATCTTCTACCATCAATAATTCACTAGAAACTCGTAATAGGCAAGTAACATTCTCATATATTCCTACTACTATCACAAAAGCGGCACACTTCTTGGCAATCTTTCTATTTATTTATGAATAGCTCAAATCCATGTGATGGTTAAGACAAAACTGAAACTTTGTGAAAACGGTAATGAATATAGAACAAAAGGTCACTATGTAACGCCACAATTAATGTGTACTTTTTAGTGCTTGACTAAAGCAGATAGTCTTGACATAGAAATATAAGACATAGATGTAGATTACAGAAGGATAGAGAAGGATAGGTGGCACATAAGCAAGGGCGGTGCCAGGATTTGCCCAACGGGGGGAGGGGGTTCCAAAGGTTCCAGAAGGGGGACTGATGCCCCAGACGAGAAGAAAGTAGCTGTGGTCAGGCGTCGCTCAAAATCCATAGAAAGTGGTCCAGGGGGGCGAAGCCTCCCAAAAGTATGACAATTTAGGGATTTTAAAGGCTTATTTAAATTGATTTTGTTAGTATAGAAAATAAATAATTTTTTTTCCTCCCCAACGAATTGTGGTTTTTCTCCCCAACGGGGTCGGGAAGGGGAGGTGGGTGGCAAAGCCTCCCTCATGGGGGGTTGTAGCCCCTGGCACCTGTAGCGCCGCCACTGCACATAAGTGGATAGACCAGCTATAGATGCATGGTTTGTAAAGCATCTTTCCATCCTATAACTGTGTTACTATATTTGCTGTTTGGAACGTAAAAAAAAAAAATTAGACCAAGTTTTGTCATATTCTGAAAGGTCTATCTACTTCATTGACGCAATAATAACATTATTAATAATAGATGTAATTAAAGTAATGGATTCTTAGCGTGACGATAATCAACTAATAAAAATTGTGGTTTCATTCTGGTATTGCCAATTTATTCCACTTCCAAAATTGTAAACAATACACTTTTGAACAATCAAAAGGAAGCGAGTCAGGACTGCTTTATAGCTGGCAAAGAATTGATTGAGAGAGTAATTAATTTAATTACTTAGTTATGCACTGATAAGTATTCATGATTTAGTATCAATGCAACATTATCACATAATACTTTGTTCTAGAATCTTGAAAGGCTTTTAAAACAATTTATTTTGGAAAAACACTGAACGTCTTGCAATTATGT